TTCAATACTATCATCAACATATACCCTGATCAAAACCCTGACTGACGAAATCATGTATTATTTTATTTTCTTCTGTCCACTGTTCTAAACTTAATAACAAAAAACCTGTAAATAATTTAGACATACAGTTAGAAAAAGATATTTCCCTGTAATTATCGACATCTAAGGCACCTTTTTTGAAAAACGGAAAAATTATAGACTGTGCAGAATTCTTTCGAATGCTTTACGCACTGAAACATCTCTGGAAATTTTATTTTCAATAGTTTTCAGTTCTTTTGAAACTAGAACTTTTTCTGTAGCGAATTTTCAAGTTAAACTTTTGCATATTTTTTTTTAACATTTATTTAAAAATTCTGTCGATTTATATAAAAGTGTCGGTCAAAAAAAAAGTTTTTATCGATAGTTTCTCATACAAACGACACATTAGAATCATTCATTTAAAAGAAATTCTAATTCTAATATAAGTATTCATTTTTTAAGACAACGAAAATGTCTCCTAAATCCATAAATAGCATTAGGGCGCACTTCTGACCATTATATCGACAGATTTAAATACTTTGGACGATAATAGATAATAAGTTGTCCATGGATCCACCTCATCAAACATTTGAAAGATGAGTGTACGAAAAGGCTAGACCTTCTTAAGTGCTTTACTCATTCAACTTGGGGAGGCGATACACTAACTCTTATCAAAATATACCATAGTGTAATTAGGAGTAAAATATATGGAACAGACCACCCTTCCGAACTTATTCAGTTGAAAGTATGTATGCCGAACCTGGAGAAACCTCTCTAGATGAGACGAAATTATTCATCAATGAAATACGTCTCAAAATTAAAAGCAAGTCCACAACATCCATTAGCTCCAAAAATATTTGTTGTGGATTCCGAAAAGCGCGCAAGTAAAGACATAGAGGGAAACAAATTTAAATTAACGATTTTTAGAACATTATATGATACGAACATGGATCTGAACACAATAAGGCCCATTCCTGGTCTCAAATTTCCTTACTGGAAGTAATACAGACCGTCTGTATACATATGGATGACTCGATATTCCTAAGACTACTGACTAGAACTCCAAACGTATTTCTTTCGATTACTAGAACGGTACAAAGGTTATAAGGTCATTTTCACCAAAGTTTCCAAAGTAAGAAAATATCGTTGGTTGTGCTGTCTATGCAACCGAAAACCAGCTTCAGTTACTATTCAACTTATCAAGAGAGAGCTCCATATTCAGTGGAGAAGCGATTGCGATAGCGAAGCCCCTCTATTGGATATCAAAATTCAAAGATAAAAATTGGATCATATCGTCGTGGCGGCCATTGGTAACCCATAGCCAAGAAACTCCCTTATTAGATAAATATTAAACGTATGCTGGGAAATGAAAAAAAGATCAGTGAGTGTGGTCTTTGCCTGGGTTCCATCCCATAGTCGCATAATGGGAAATGAAAAAGGAGACCAAGCTGCTCGTTTGGCGAGGAAGGGGGAATTGTCAGGCACAACACCAATAAATACACGACAGTTAAAGACTGGATACATGAAACAACAGAAAAGTAATTAAAAAATTGAAAATGTCAATGGAAAATAAAACGAGTCAAATTATCAGAAATAAAAACCGAGTGCAACACATGGAACACAAGTTTCAGAAAATCGAGAAGGGGAGAAATAATACAGTGCCGAATGCGATTTCTTGTTTGTTTATTTAGGCTTTGAGGCGTAAAACCCTAGGGTTATCAAGGCGTGTGAATCCGTTATATTTGTAAACTCTTTAGAGGAGAATTAATAATTAATAATAGATAGAGTAATAAATAAAAAAAGATATTTAAAAACACATAAAAGATGGAATATATTAAAATAGATATTTAAAAAAAAGGAAGAACACTAAAATAAAAATTATATTTATTTTTATATTTTATTTAATAGGCTATGGATTTTAAGAAATTTTATCACTGTTCTATGTTTGATTCGTTGTTGCTTAATACTGCTGATATATCCGGTTTTAGAGATAATCGATTTAGGCTTGAAGTATAATTAGTGCATTCCTGGAAAATATGATTGACTGTGAGAACGCTGTTGCAGTGCTGACAATTTGGTGGTGGCTGCTTAGTGATGAGATGTGCATGGGTTAGATTCGTGTGTCCTATTCTTAACCTGGTCACGGCGACTTCCTCTCTACCATTAGGGCGACTTGATGTGATCCAGGGCTTCACCGATTTTTTAACAGCATTTAATTTGCTAGGCGGGATTTCGTTTCACATAGATTGCCAACTATCCAATATTTCCTTTTTGAGAGGAAAGCTCATTTCTGGAGGGGTCAAGATAGGAGTACCTCGGTGTGGAAGCTCGAGTGCCTGTTTGGCTGCCGTATCCGCTAGCTCATTACCAACTATACTCACGGAATGCGGTGTCTTTTCACACACCTTAGAGGTCTCGAAGTGCCAACCTAACAGAAGTGTGACAACACACCTCAGACAGTTAAACACTTATTACTAGAGTGTCCATAATACGAAAAAAAATGAGACAAATATTAAAGTTGTCCACGACATTGAAGGATATTTTGGGAGACGATGTCGCCATTCACTCCCCACATTTAATGGAAACAAATGCTTACAATAGAAAATAAAAAATAAGATCCCATGGATAAAGGTGAATACAAATAAAAAAAAAACCTCTAATATAATCCCATATACTATTTATCTTTCATTTAATTGAACATTTTTTAAGAACATTAATGAATACAAGTTAAACTTTCTCCATAAAACTGGAACTTTATTAAAATAAAGTTCATTCGAACTTCTATTCTAAAAACCGTTCTTTTTTTTCCCTAAAATGTTCCACAGAAACTGATAAGATGGATATTTTTAAAAACGTTTCAATTCTTGCCAAGTAGCCCAGTCAAACTAGCACAAAGAAGGGGAAAGCTTGCAAAAGATCGTGTGATTCAAATTTATTTTTTACATTATTAGGAACTTAGTGAATATAAAAAATCCAAGTTTCCACCCTTGGTAGCCTTGTGGGCTATGCTCCAATAATCATTGAAATTTCAAACATTTCTTTTGGTTTAAGGTAAATATTTCCTTTTTAAAGCAACATAAATTAAAAAATATTTATATTGAATCAGATACAGCTTATCATTATCTAACATTTTTTTCTAAACTCAACAGGAAGTGTTCTATCAAGCTTTAAAAATAGGTAAAGTTTTGCAAATTCGCAAAAAAAACATGCATATTTTTTTGGTAATTAATTATCTGTTTTCATAGGTGATGCAGCTCAAATTTTCAACTAATTAAATCACACAAAATTTACTATAGCTTTTGTAGGGAACATATTTTTCTAAACTTAACAACTTTAATTACTATCGCTAAAAAGGAATTAATGTTTTGAAATTCGAAAAAAAAACCTTTTATTTTATTTTTCCGTTTTCCACTTATTTTAATAAAATAATTCATTAAAAAATACTGTTTTTCTTGTTAAGTTCAAACTAACTTTATTCTAACATATTTTTTTTAAATAATTAATATTATTAAAATTACATACCTTTGTGTTCTTACGGATTGTTGTTATCTCCTAGACTGTTTAATTTCTTCACAAAAAATATTTTGGACAATGAAATTATTTTATTAATATTTGTTCGTTAATACAAACATAAAAGGGGCGGGGTGGCCGAATAGGCTAAAGCGTGTGCACTGCACCGCGAGTCGCATGGCAACCAGATATATGAAGATTTGAGAGACAAGAAAAGTACGAGTTCGCATCCCGGTGCCAGAGGGGATTTTAAAAATTCCCCGCCCCCACCCTCCGGCCCGGGAAAATCCCGTATAGCCTAAACGGCTAGGTAGGGAAGAACAAAAAAAAAAAAAAAAAAAAAAAAAAAATACAAACATAAAAAATTATAGTAAAACGTTATAATAATCTAGGAGCACCGAATGACGTGGCAAAAGTCTACGAACTTACGCCACTGACACTTTTTCCGCTGATTAAGTGATTTTGTACGTAACCGCATCAAATATTTTAAAAAGTAATTAGTGTTTTAAAAATAGAAATGTATTCTGCAGATCTTTTATTAGAGAGCGTTTTTCATTATTGTTAGCCGTTTATTTATAAACAACGCTTGTTTTTCAACTTTAGTTTGGACGACTTGAGAACCAAGTTTACTGGTGTTTTTTTTTTTTTTGTCAAGACCTATTTTTTAAATTTTTTTATAATGTTCTATTATTTTCTAATTATTCAGCTCAAAATCTCAGTAACCAAATTACTAACTCAAGTCAAAGACGTTAATCGGCCTTGTTTGGACCCCATTTTATGACAGTGCTCCCATTTTTTTGTGGGAACATTGAATATTTTGTTTAATAAATAGTTAATAAAAAAAAAATGCATTAGTCGACTTTTTGTAAGGTAATATTTCTAATTTGACTTGGCTATCGGATGTTGCAGCAATCTTTTTTTTTTTAAACCGACTACCTGGAAGTTGCTCTTTATAATATGAAATTTAAACATTCTTTTTCGAAAATGGCTCAAACAATTATAATTATACTCTTTATGACAATGTTAAATAAAGTGATATTTAATATCAGCTAGGCCCAACCTTATTAACCTAGTCTGACATAGCCTTATTCTTAACTTTAAATAATTATTGCCTCTTATTGTTAATAGTGATCGAAAATGAGTGAATATGAAAGAATTTCATTATTGATTAAAGGATTAAAACTAAAAAACCTCTTCTTGATTAATTTGCTATTAATTTCTGCTAATTTCAAAATCACATAATTATTGAAAAAATGGATTTTTACTTTAATATTATAAATATAAATAAATAAAATATGACAACCAAAAATTATAATGTGGTTATTACTTGGGGCCTTCAGTATATTTTTTTATAATATTTAATTACATATTATTTAAAGATAAGTTTACTTAGAGAAAATCTATATTCATAAATAAATCTTATATATCATATTAATATTTAATAAATGTGTAGAATCAAATTTAGTATATACCCTTTAAAACAATGGTGGAGCCTGCGATCACGTATGAGCATCTAACTGTTAACTGAACTATAAATCACATCATAAATATTCCTTGTGGTGTTTTAATATCATACTACTAGAAAAACACTTGTTACAGTGTTCAAACAAATTAATGAGGAATAGATCAATATTTCTCATATTTGTTTTAGCTTTCAATAGTTAATCAGCATTGTCTTAGAGATGATGATTCGGAAGGTAGTTAATCAAATAACAAACAAGCTAATGAAAAACAACCTGGTCTTTTGGTAGAAATATGTATAACTTAAAATCAACGTCTTGGAACGTGTGACATAACATACAGTGAAGTTTTGCGAGTTGTTTGTTTCATGCACATCGAATTGTGCTCAGAGAAGATAATATCCACTCGCATTTTACAACCATGAGGGAAAGTTAATGATGTAGTTTACCGTTTTAATGACGTTTTTATTTCAAACGTTTGAGTAGTTTTTATTTATTCGTTCCTTATAAAGGCGTTAAATTAAACTAAAAGTCATTGATTTGATTTAAAAATAACACACTTCAACGTTGAATTATGAAGTAAATTTGAATGAAGTGACGGATTTATGAATGCTTTAGTAACAGGTAGTAAAAAAAAAATAAAAAAAAAGTCTGTTGTCTAACCCAAGTGATGTGTGTACTACCAACAATCAGTCATCCGATTTTGATATTGTACGAATAATTAAATGATTTATGTTCATAGAATGTACGGGTTAATACCTTCATGGTTCCTTATTACTTCCATTTAAACTTATCTGATAATTTTTTTTACGTATGTACTATTTTATTTCAACACTTCTATATTTTAAACGGCTCGTTAGATTTTTCCACAAGTTGAAGAAAAGTTGAGCTAAGAAGGTTTTATAAGAATTCTAAGAAAGTTCATTAGATTTTTCTCATTTAACAAGGCAAGCAGGGTAATAGTAGGCAAATGTACAGTTAAGGAAAACACACCGTCATTGAACACATTCAGTCGATCATCGATTTCGACAAAATTTTTTGGGTGATTTTAAATCGAACATATTGGAAAGTGTCTTGTGGTTCGTTTTAATAGCTATAATGAGTAAAGAAAAAAAAGTATGTTATATGAATAATATATATTCTGTATTTTTTAAGCCTTTGCTTTAGATGGATTTCTAGGTTATTTTATAAGAATCGATTTATATATTTTTTTCTATTTATGGATTTGGGCCATTTAGGAAAATTTTTGTGATTCTCGCAAAAAAAATCAAAAATACATTCTATCAGCCATCAAGAAGGAATCATATGGTAAGATATAAACGTCGGTTTTGAATTTTAATTTAAACTACAGATTAACTTTTTAAGTTACATTGAATTATACATTTTGTAACCATACATTTTTTTTTTGTTAAATATAAATTATAGTAAAACGCCTATAATACTTTGTGGTAGAGGCGTAAAAGAGGGAACATTTTGTTTTTTAATTTTATTGTTATAATTCTATTATTGTCTTATGAAAACGCTATATCGTTGATTTACATTACATGAAGTATCTTACAAAATATAAATGTTGCGGTATTTGAATGTGTTGATAACAAAGACAGTACGGAATTTATGGAGGTGGAATTTGAGTCATTTCTGCACACGTTTTGTAATTTTTGCCACTAGTTTTGTAGTTGTCAAAACATTTCGAGGAGTTCTAAGTAGACAAATAATATGTAAACATATTTTAAATTTTCCATTGATATAAAAAATGCGAAAAAAATATTAACTTTAACTACCAAATACAATATTTTTTTTTAACCATCCTGGTACGTAGAGTAAAAATTGTTTAGCGAGAAACAAATCTGATATTCGTTTTTTGTTTCCATTTCAGAAACCCTTAACCTCCTATAAAAAATCTATACTTTTTGCACTTATTTTTGCACTTCAAACTTTTTTTTTTACAACTTCAAAATTGTAATAACTGCAAAAAACATCTAGTGTGTCCACTCACACGACTTTCCTACCTATTTCAGAAAAGTTTCTATATCTTTATATAAGTTCATGAAGAAACAAAAAAAAAAAAAAAAAAATGAACTAGATTTATTTTGCTGAAAATTGATCAAATATGAAATCTAATGTAGATCAGTGTAAAAATTTCAATACTCTCTAATATTGCTGATCAAAAACAGATAGTTAGGCCCCAAACATTTTTCTTTTTTTTATAACTTTTTTCCTTTATTTTCTCAGGAATTTGTCAATATACGAAAATCGAAAAGAAAATTACTAGAACATTATAGGAAAATTTCATCAAAATCGTTAGAGCCGTTTTTGGTCTAAAATCTATAGAAAAATGTGTTTTTCATTCATTACGCTAAAGCTATTGCGCATGGAGCATAGAATTTCTGTCCCAGGCCTCAGTAGTCAAAATTCTAAAAAATAAAAAAAAAGAAGCAACAAAATCGGTTCAGTTGTTCTCGAGAAAATCTTGGCAGTCAGACAGACCAACGGCTATAAATGAGTTTTTCGGACTCAGGGGTTTTCAAACGTATAGATCCGTCGAAAACCGCATATCGGAAATCTGACCAGTTTGCAATAATTTCCTTACCTAGCATAGGTAGGAAAGTAAAAACTCTACCTATCCTCATTAATATTACCAGAATTTCGAGCCCCTGCAGGCTACACCACATGACCTACGTTACGCCTCCGTGAACTCTGTAATGCCATTGTTATTGCTGCGTATACTATCAAAACATTCTTTTACGGCAATCTGTATCTTTGATAGGAAACGGAATGTTTGTCAATAGAATTATTACATACATAATATAGTAATATTTGTATGATTACTAGATATATCAGTCAATTTAACATAAAAAGATAACATAAATTTTTTGGTTTTAGCTTCAAATTCAAAACTGAAGTTTGGCCCTTGTGATGTGATCCGTTTTGGGCGCTGATAGAAATAATATAAAATATTTCAAAGTAAAATAATAAAAAAAAAATATCAAAGAAGAAGATAATTAAATCTGTTTTAAAAAATTGTGGTTTGATGGTTGACTGTAGTGAATAATGAAGAGTAAGATGGTTGGGGTGATCAGTCAAAGTAAACGACGGCAAAAATAAATAATAATATTTAATTTAACATTTGTTGACGTTTCGACCCGAAGTTCAGGCCTTCACCAGGGCTAAGAAAAGAAACAGATAACAATAGGTATGAGGAACATAAACAATGTAGATAAAAATACTTAAAGTAAAATGAAGTAGGTAAGTGAACATTAAAGTAAAATAAAGTGGGCAGAATAATGGCAATGAAAAGAACTAAGAAATAAATAATAATAACGGTTACAAAGTGTGGACCAATGAAGTAAACATAATCAAAATAAGCTAGTATAAGTACTAAAATGGTAATCTTAGAATAAAATTATATAAGAAATAAATAGAAATAGAAAAATTGAGATATTGTAAATAGAATAGTTAAATAGAAATTTTATATTTCGTTATTAGGAATTCTATTTACAATATCTAAATTTTTTTATGTATATTAATTTCTTATATCACTTCATATTCCTTTTCTCTGTTTTATATTTTATTTTAAGATTAACATTTTAGTACTTATACTGGCTTATTTTGATTTTGTTTACTTCTTTAGTCCACACTTCGTAACCGTTATCATTATTTATTTCTTAGTTCTTGTTATAATATTGTATATAGGTATGATTGTGTTTAGAATTTTTTATTTTATTTTATTTGTTTATTTTATTTTTATTTAACTTCTTCACCAGTATTATTTATTTACTTATTATATTTATATTTATTTCTTTATTATTTGTATATATTGTATGAATGAGAACTTGTAGCCCAAATGCTTATAGCCCTCCAGCAGTGGCTGATTGTATTATTATTCAATAAACAGATTAAAAAAAAAAAGTTCTTGTTATTAACATTATTATTCCTAGTTTATTTTACTTTATTGTTAACTTATCTACTTTATTTTACTTTAAGTTTTTTTACCAATATTGTTTATGTTTCTCATCCATATTGTTATCTGGTTCTTTTCTCAGCCCTAATGAAGGCCTGAACTTCGGAAACGACGGCCAATTTAAAATAAATATTATTTGTTTTTGCCATTTTTATTTTGACTGATCACCCCAACCATTATTTTAAAAAAAACATTAATCATACATTTCAATATTAATGAAAACGAGCTACAGCTCAATTTTTTTAACAATGCAAGAGAAAGATGATCATATTGCCTCAAAATTACAAAATTATGTATTCGTATTGTCAAGTCGAATATATCGTCTGTCCTCTCACTGTACTTATCCAAGATAAGTGTACAAAAATGAATTTGTTTTAACATTTCTGAAACCGGTACAATTTGATTTTTTTTTTCTGTGAGAAATTAAGTAACTTTTCAAAAAACATTTTTTTCAAAAGAAAATATAAAAAATCATTGAAAATAATACCTCTCAATAAATATTTATAATAGAGAATTTATAATGGATTTCAGTACATTTATAAAAATTAGAAAAAAAAAAAAGAAACAGAAAATAAAGTTTTTTTTCTCTTGCGCAGGTGACATCCAAATAAATACAGAGCAAAACACACACACGCACACTGAGGCCACCTGAACACGTACACGTGCTGATGACGACTAAGTTAACATGCCCGCTAAATGTTAATTGGAAACAATTGCATACATCGCAAAGTTAACTTCACCCATTTTGCCCAAAAGCAATGAAGGGAGACTAAATAAAAAATAATTTTTATTTTACGAACGAGCCTTTTTTATATATATATAGGCACATCATAATACATAGATAACATTTGATGAAAATGATATAAGACAACCGAGATACCTACGCACACTATCCTTAAACTTTAATCAAAATAAATTTGTCAGTAGAACTATATCACTATAGACAAATAGAACCGTAATAAACTGTTGTTTCACATTCTCCAAAACATTAATGGAAAATATCGATTCTGGGCAAAAACAATTTTTAACCTCCCGAACACACAGAATGTTCTCTGCATTTGGTTAGGAGGAAGCATGAGTAAACCATTAAAATTTTT